AAAATGATCTTTAGCCTAACACCTTCCATTCTGCCTGTCAAAATCAATCTTATCACTCTAGTTAATGGTATGTACAATGAAGTATTTAGGAAGAAGTGTCATTATGCCTGCAACTTAGTTTGAAGTACACAACAACAAAATAAGATGGCTTGGTGGATGGGCAGACAATGGATAAATGGAAAGAAGGTGATAAGGCAAGAATAGACAAAGTGAACCATAGAATTTAAGTGAGTGGTATACAGTGTTCATTATAAAATTCTTTCTGTAAAAAACTTTTCTGTATGTTTGAAATATATCATACTAAAATGTTGGAGGAAATGTAATCTATCGTTAAGGGCCTGGTTTGTGTTCTAGTACTTTGGAGAGGAAGCCTTTCTAGATTTCCTGAATTATTTGTGGCCTGTTGCCCATGTGTGTTACTGGAACCTCTCTCATGGCAATAGTTGTCATTTGATGTGTAGAACTGCTTTGCTTTCTTATCTTGGCCCTGGTGTTGAACAGTGATCTTGTGGACAGGCACACTGTCTTGTCTTTAAGTTTCTGATGCACCAGACAGGCATGATAGAAGGAAGCAAGGAAGATGGTCCCCTCACGACTATAGAACTAGTTTAGGAAAATAGCAATTAACTTTAAAGTTGCCTTGTTGAAAGTCGTTTTTTAATGTAAGGTTTACTGGATCAAGTGTGTGTGTGTGTGTGTGTGTGTGTGTGTGTGTGTGTTGGGAGAGAATTAGAGAAATAACATTTCTAATACCCAACATTCTGATCATGACTGCAAATCAGGACTGTGCAGTGGAGAGTGGAGACCCACTTCCAGTTACAGTGGTGGTGATGGTTGGTGTTGCTTAGCCTTGGTTAGGGAATTCCGCACTTTAGTAAAATGATTCAAGTCCAGGGCTGTGGACTATATGGACTCACCCCATTTGGAGGGCAGGTCTATGGAAGTATAAATAGGGCTCAGGATGTCCTGTCAGGATTGCTGATAAGTCTCCAATCAGAACCTATTTGATATCTCCAATATATGTACAACCTCAAGCAGTCTCAAAAAGATATTCCACAATCATTTGGAATGGCATACTTGTTTCCCTAATGGATAAGTATATTTTAGTTCTGGGAAAATTTAGAATTAAAAATAGAACATCTTAATATAATTAAAGCTAAAGCATTAATGTTTTTGATTTAAAGGATTTATGTATATATGATATTCCAAGTAATTTAAAATAATTTGGCCTAGGTAATAAGATTAGCCTGTATTTCCAAATTAAAATGTGCAGTGAAGTAATTGATTTAGACTTGGTTTTTGGGAGGGTGGAAATCTTACTAGGTTTGTAAGCACTATTAGAGCATTTAAGAGAACTTATTATGTTTCTAAGAGTTGCTTAAGGGAAGATTTTGTAAGTTAAAGTGGACAAGTCTAATATTTAAAAGAATTAAATAATTATTATTTAGAGCTTGAAACACATTATGAAAGAAAGAACACAGGCTTTGAAAGGTGATCTCACTCATCTAAAGAACAAGGACATGAAAGTTTAGATAAGCTTTCAATGAAATGACTACAGTGTAGTGCTCAGCACATAGTACTCAGTAAGGAATTGTTGTAGAAGTAGTAATTTTTATTTATTTATTTTTTTGTCCTTTTTGAGACCGGCCGCACTGCCCTCAGCCAGTGAGCGCTGTGAGCGTACCGGTCATCCCTATATAGGATCCGAACCCGCGGTGGGAGCGCGGCTGCGCTCCCAGCGCCGCACTCTCCCAAGTGCACCACGGGCTTGGCCCGAAGTAGTAATTTTTTAAAATACTTTAATCAAAGTATGAGTTGACATTATTCAGCTCCAATGGTGCCATTTGCATAGACTACAGAGTACTCAGTCAGATTTGACTGTCCTGGATAATAATCTTATTCATTCAATCAAATGCCATAAGAAATTGAAGCCAGTTACGTAGGTTATGTGTCATACCTATCAAGCTATTCCGTCTGCTTTCACAGGAAATCAGCAGGTTTGGGGGCAGGAGACATTTTTGCCATCTGGACAAGGTTCAGATGAAATTGCATGTAATACAGAGCCCTGGATTTATTTCATCTTGGCCACTCAGACAGCCCTGAAAAGGGTGCACAGTGAGGCCTGAGCTGGAGGATGCTTGGCTTGTCTGCAGACGTTGTCATTTAGGTCTGGCTTCTGGTAATTAGGCACTCCTAGCTGGGCTCTGCTATCGGTGAGCCTTTGAGACAAATTGCAAAATCTGTACAACCATCTGAGAGATGGAGAAGTAGACCTGATGACACTACAGGGGATATTGGTAGTTCTTAAAAGTTTGAAAGCGAATGCTTAGAGAAGCAATACTAAAAACTGAATTTAGAGGTCCTTTTTCTGTAGATAAAGGGTATGTTCAGTCACAGAATTAGGACCTGAGAAGATCCTGACAGGCTGGAATGACAGGCTTAATCTAACAAGGTGAAGTGGAGTAGAAATAAAAGTGAGGTTCTGAAAATCCTAGCTATGCATGAAAAGGCTGGGAGCAGGGGTAAGGATGTGTCTGAGGAGTAGGCCATATGAAAAAGATCTAGGAGTTCAAGTTGACAGTTTATTGTGGCCCTTACAATTTAATGCATGATTAGGCTGCATTAAAGAGGTAGAATATTTAGAAAGAGGGAGGTGATAAACCCATTCTGCTGTTGTAGGATTACTGCTACAGTTATGAACTCCAAGCTCTGTGACAAAGGATGGTCACAGAATGTTGTGTGGGAGTGTTCCAAGCCTGTCACAGATAGCAAAGGAACAGGGGAGGTTTAGCTTGCATACAATTTTAGGAGGACCTGAAAGTCATCATTAATATCTGAAAAGCAGTCATGTGCATAAGGGACTAACCCTATTCTTGTTAAGAGGAACAAGAAGGATCTGAAGGTGAAAGTTACAGGAAGTTCCAAATGAGGAGGGTCTTTTAAAATGTTTTTTTTTGTTTGTTTGTTTTGTTTTTTTTAATGTCCGGCAACGGATCGCAACCCTCAGTGTCGCGCCCGTACCGGACCGGGACCGGCAATGGGATCGCAACCCTCAGCGCTGCACCCGCACCTCGCTCAGCCAGTGAGCGGGAACCAGTCTGTATGTGGGATCCGAACCCTCGGCGGGAGCGCCGCCGCGCTCCCAAGCGGCGCACTGTAGCAGTGCGCCACCGGGCCGGCCCATAAAATGTTTTAAGATACAGTGGGCTGCTTCCTCAATTCTGGAAGTGCTGGCTTAGGCTAATGAGGACTCAGACTTTCAGGGGTGGGATTGGATGACACATAGGTACTTCCTAGCCCCAAGATTCCGAGGTTCCTCTGCCTTCTGGTGGTGACTGTGTCCTGCAAAGTTCCTAACACAGGCAGATGATAGACAGAGCCATAATTACAGGAACATTTTAGGCACTGGTGGAAGAGTCTTAAGAATTCTCAGACAAGACTTCCATAAGGACACTCTTGAGATGGTCCTCATCACTGTTGCTAGTTCTTTACTCTGCCAGGGGAGCTATGGGGGATGTGGTCACTTTCACCCAAGGCTGTGTTATTTCCTCCGTCATTGCTTCTGTGTGCCAGCAGGGTGCTGGGTGCTAGGGGAACTTTGAGGAACCAGGCAAAGTTCGTGCCCTCTGTGGATATGCAGTATGTCTGGGAAGTAAGACAGCTGACACTAACTATACAGTTATGTGTATAACTATACAGGTGCAATTTGAGCACATTTTAGGAAGGAGAAGTATAGACTTGTAGAACAAGGAAACCAAATCTTGTTGGGTGGTTAGAGGAGACTTCCCTGAGGGAGTGATGTTGACGTGGGGCTTTGGAGGAGAAGCAGGGTCCTGCCCCACTGTTCCAGTGTGGCAGAGCACATGAAGGAATGACAGCAGTAGACTTCAGACTTGCTGTTGACCAATAGAAGCTCTCCTGAGGATGGAGCCGATATAAAGCCAGCCAAAAGCACTAACAGGAAACAAAAGTTTTCTGTTTACTATATGGAATACATTAAACTATTTTTAGTTCCTGGTGTTAGAGCAAGTTGAAGTCATAATGACCAGCACAGAAGGACCCAGGTCTTGTATGAGTGGGTTTTTATTTCATGTGGTATCTTAGTAAATGCCCCCACTCAGCTTCTGGGAATATATTTTCCTATTATAGCTCTTCAAAGTTAGGTTACCTATTTTAGATTTCTCAGTCTCATAGTAGGGTAGGGATGGAAGGTTTTTGTTTATACTTTTAGGCATTTTATTTCACCAAAAGGTTATAAAGCTTGGAGGAGATTGAGTTATTTTTTTTTCATTGACATGATCTTGTATATAGTTAGTCACTAGTGCAAAGACTACCTTTAGGGAATATCTGCTTTCAGACTGTGAGTGTCTTATCATTGTGGGGCTTCTGTACCCACAGCAGTTCATTCTCTTGTGGCTATAATGATTCTAACTGGAGTTAACTATGATAGAAACTTGAATAAGGAAGAAAATGAGTAAGAAAAATAAAAGACTAGAACAGATCTGGGTTTGTTTACTCTCAGACTAATTCTTTGTATAGAGTATATGTTATTTACACGAATGACCACTCATTTAGGTACAAGCATGCAATCAAACAAAAAGGCACGTTTTAAAATTTTATTTTTTATTGAAACATAATTGATTGCACATATCTGTGGGGTGCAGTGTTGAATATCAATACCCGTGTGCAATATGTGATGCTCAAATTAGGATAATTATTATATTCAACATTACACCATGTAATTGTTTTTTGTGGCCCTCAAAAAGGCACATTTGAAAAATATTCATTTTCTGTCCTCTTGCTGAGGATATCTTAATTTTCTCTAGTAAATATTTTTGCAAACAGTTGTACTGTTTTATTTTTCTGGCATTTATAAACATAACTGCAGTTTAAAAATGGTCGATTCTGAATTCTATTCCTAGCTTTTTAGGAGCTTTTAAATTTTTATTTATTTATTTTTTTAATTAATCCACCTTATTGTAAATTCTTCTTTCTTTCAGGTAGGAATGAATTGATAGCCAGATACATCAAGCTCAGGACAGGGAAGACGAGGACCAGAAAACAGGTAAAGTAGCCCACCTGGAAATCGTGCATGTCAGCGAATGGCCCGAGGAGGCATTTTGGCTGCAGTGGCTGGCTGTGCTTTGGCTCCTAGGAGCCCCCAGTTTGAGTTCCCTGTAAGGACGTCAGTGTTGTAGGAGTTTTAAATTGGCTCTTTTTATTGTTCATCATTTCAGTGACCCTTTATTATGTGGTCTCCGGAGTTCTTTTTAAACTCATATGGGAAAGTTTCACAGCTATGGTGAGGGCAGTGTATGAACTGCTCCTGTACTGTATTTCAAAGCTTAGATTTCTTTCCCAAAATGTGCATCTGCAAACATTGTAAAAGCTGCAGGTGCACATACACTTACAAGGCATGAAATTTTGAGATTTTGCGCATTGTAAAATCCTGGAACGATTACATGTTAGTCATCATTTCATTGAAAAAGTAATGCAGATTTGAGTATTAGCCGAATATAATATTGAATGATGTGCGTCCAGGGAACTGTTGCTTCTTAAGCGATGGCTTTTTGTCAGTAGCTGCTGTGACTGAAATGAAGTTAAAACTTAAATACTTCTGTGCAGAGCAGTGTCAGGAATTCTTTGCCCTTTGCCAGGGCTTTCTGCCTTCTCTTGTTCTTTCAAGATGTTAAAGCAGCCCAGATCTCTTATATGATCCAGTTTAGAACTGGAATGGCTGAGAAACTAGTGTTTAACTAAAAACAGAAAAAGGAGAGAAAGGAAAAGAAAAAAACCTCATGGGTGAGTTGTTAACATAAAAAAAATTATTTTTTAATGTTGATTTATGCTGAATGATATGGCACAGACCTTAATAACTGTAATCAAACCAAAAGGCAAGCTAAACGGTAGTCTCCTTAATACTTGAGCAGCAGATTTCAGTTCTTTTCCCAGTGAGGAATTGTTTTCATGAGTGTTAACAACAGGGGGAGAGGCTTTTCTCCAGGAATGCTGCATGTGCCATAGCCTGGGAGCCTGGCTGCTGAGTCAGCACAAAGGGAGGTGGCCTCCTGCCAGCGCACAGAGACAGGGCATTGTCTGTTTGGGGGATGCTCCCCCCTGACAGTGGCCCTCACCAAGTCAGAGAATCACATAAAAGCAAAATTCTGGTGAAAACAAGTAACAGCAGAAGCCAGATGGAGGGGTGAAGAGGATGGGGGAGTGCCTGCTTTTCTCCATAGTTTAAGAAAAAAAAAGTACAAAAACAAATTGAAAAAATAACTGAATAATCGAAACTCAAAGTTAAAGACGAAAGAATCTTTTATTATCATAAATCCTTTTTTTAGAGTTTGAAATGAGGTAATCACCACGCCGTCTGAGTCACTGAGCTTCTAAATGGAAGCTTCTAAATTTCTGAAATGGACAGATCTAATCTCCTATATACTGAAAGTGCTGGACCTGGGCTGTCTCCTGGTCTGTGAGCTCTGGTCATTTGCCCAATGACCCCTTCACTGGGGGACTCTTCTAAATTTAACCAGGTCCCACTGAAAGAGATGCAAATTTGTTTACCCAGTGGAATCATTGTTTTTCAGAAGCCGGGCTTGGCTACATTTCCACACCCCGGCATCCTGGGGATGTTTTTAGGCAGCAGTTGGTGATACCTCTCCAATGTGAATTTGTTGTTCAGCAAATCTGTGTGGTTTTCAACCCAGATTTTTAACAGGATGGTTGGCTGGCTGTATTCACACATTTCACTTTGTAATAATATGCAAATCCACTTGGCACCCAGTCAATACTCAAAAGAGTGGAAGGATTAAAGATATTTATAAGAGGAAAAAAAATTCTCTGCTAACTGGGTCTTTCCATTTTTCTTTGAGATCTAATTTACATGTCACTATTATTTTAACATTTGCTACAGAATCCAGAGCTCTTAATGAGATCAGCATAAACCGACAGCTTCGGCTTTTTGATTCTGCAGAACGTGCTAATTTATGGATAGTCTCTTCTAAATTGAGAAAAAGGGATTTTCCCTCCTGATACTGAGAAGCTATAAATATTTTCATTTACCCATACCCCTACCTTTTAAATTTTATAAAGAAAACAACCCTACTCTCCCTCTCTCATCCCTCCCCAAATTAGTTTTTTTCCCAGTGCCCGTGATTTCTCCTGGGTTTGAAAACTAAGATGAGCCTAAACTTTCATCCTGAACCAAGTCACTGCAGTGATGACCCAGTATGAGAAGCTTAGAGCAGCGCTGGGGGCTTGTGTCTGGCTGGGACTGTGTATTCCTAACTGCAGAGCTTTGTTGAGATGCAAATAACCTCCCCCTACCCCACCCCCGCCTTCCCAAGGAGTAGCGATTTTATATTTGATTTCCTTTTTTTGTTTTGTTTTGTTTTGTTTTGTTTCCCCTCATAAACCCGAACAATGTAGGTGTCTAGTCATATACAGGTCTTAGCAAGAAAGAAAGTTCGAGAAATTCAAGCCGCCATTAAGGTACGTCTGGCTTGCCCAGTTGTAGGGGGCTTTTCATCTCCATGGTTACAGGCTTTTCCTTTGTTTTCCTCCCTTCCCCTACCCTGCAGGTGTCTAGTCACATTCAGGTTCTTGCCAGAAGGAAATCTCGTGATTTTCATTCCAAGCTAAAGGTATGCGCTTTTCTGCTTTTTGGCTTGTGGTTGCTATGCATCTCACTTCCTGTTTTCCATGGTGACTGGTGAATGCCTGGTGCTGGGATTCTCGTAACCTAGTTTCCTTGCATGTGAGAGCTGTTTACTTTTCTTTGTGTCTAATCTTTCTGTTCCTGTACTAGCCACACATTAAACTCAATGTGTGTGCGTGTGTGTGCGCGCGCGTGTGCGTGTGTGTGTTCCTAATAACCATGCAAATGCAGCAGAGAGCTGATAACTTTTCAGCACAGAAGCATGATTTTATTTTTTTAACCTTCAAATGTCCACCAAACAACTCTGGGCTAGGAAAGCTTAAAAAAAAGTCCAGAGGCACAAAGTTGATAATAGAAATTATAAAGGAATCGTTCCCAGAGCGGTCATAAAATTACTTTTTAAAAAACACGTAGAAATATTTTAATTTGCGCTTTTGATGTATTTTCAAGAATACATATAAAAATATTTCTTTTTCATGTATGAGTGTACTTCAAAAAGTTTGCAGTAAAGTAGAATTAAAAGATAATACGAATCTTTCCATGAACTTTTTGACTACTCCTTGTATGTCTCTTCCAACACAGAGAATATTTTCAGCTGGATTTCTTACACATTGCTTGATATTATTTTTTAAGTGAATGGCTCTCTTATTAAAAGAGAAATTTGAGGTGTGGCCTAAAAAAAAAAAGATTTATCTTAGAGTTGGGAAAGCTCTTGCTCAAACCCAGGCTTCCAATTCCATTTATACTTAAGTTACATTTTTTTTTTTTACGTGTGCCTCATTTTCCAGTCTTTTAAAAGCAATATTTCACAGCAAAAATGGAGGCATTGATAATTTTTTAAATAGAAGTTCTCCCTACCTTTCCCCTTTCTAAAATTTGCAGTAAAACGTACATGACTTATTTTTCTATCATGGCCTATTTTAGAAATGGTAAGGGATTATTATGGTTTGCAAGAAGAAACTTTAGTTTTTAATAAAATTTGTTTTAGCTCATATTGTTGCCTTTCCCATGTGCCTTTTTTTGTTCTGTCCTAATATTTTTTCATACATTAATTAAATTTGTGCTTTTATTCTAAACTACAAAAAAGGTATAATTTCATAGCATGGAGTGGTAAACATGGGACCTTTCCCAAAGCCCTTCAACTTTTTTTGTACAGACAAGGCTGGCTGTGGAATAGGACTAGTGACTAGGAAGGGGCATGTGATGTGCCCTCTACAGTGGGCAGCATGCAGGCTCGCTCGCACGTGTGGCTGATGGTGGCTGGCTTTTAGCTGCACTGGCTGAGCAGTTGGAAGACTAAGAAACCTTCATAGATCCTGCTTTTTAACCTAAGGTGCAGTACTCTCTATGTGGATGTAACCACCCCAGTGTTTGCTCAAGTTCTGACTCTGTTTCTAGTTTCTCTGAGCTAATGAATTAATGATGTACAAAAAAGTTTTCAGATACCAATTTTGTGTTTCCATTTGTGATGTTATGAATTGCTGTATTTCTGCACTGTGTGGTTCCTGTTGACTCACCAGGGCACCCAGCCCTAGACCGGAAGCCCTATAAGTGATGCATAAAGCTCTCCTGTTCAGAAGGGATCCCCATGGCATAAAAAGCACTCTCTTTCTCACTTGGTGATTTTAAGAATTTTCTTCCGTAGTAACAACTTTGCCATTGCTTTGTATGTGTACATATGTACAAACACACAGCTAAGTTTGTGTTTGTTTTCAAGAAATAATAAAAAGAAGACTTTCCCTCACTTTCAGCCTTGGTCCACTCTCCTTTGGGCAGGTACAAGGGAGAGGGAGAAAGAGAGGCAGTAGGATAGCAACTAGGCCAGCATTTCAGCTCTAGGAATTACATCTATCTTCTGGCAGTTCTTTTCCTTCTCTGCTACCATATTATTCTTAGAAAAATGGAGTCTTTTGTTTTTCCATCAGCTAATACCGATGTTTCAGCATGGGTCTCATCATGGTGGGCGGTTAACAGCCAACCCCCATTCACAGGTCTGGCCATGTAAATGGGAATGTGAAATACGGGGCACTGCTGGGTAAGTGTTAGCAGAACAAGCCAAAGTGAAATGGGGAGGGAATCCCAGGGACAGGCTTCATGACGAATGTACTTTTTTTTATATAAAGCCTGTCAAATTTAGTAATGGGGGGTTGTATACCAGCTTTAGTGATACTAAGTAAGTTCTGATAACCTACTACCATAGGACCAGCTGAGAATGAGTCTGGGAATTGGAAGATGGGAGTGATTTTACTGCAGAGCCCCTTGCATTCTCTCATTCAAGCTCACTATGAAGTGAGTTACATAATTCTGATTTTGAGGAAAATGGGCTCAAAGAGTATAAATGATATGACAAAAGTCACCAACCCTAGTAAGTGGCAGAGTCAGGATTTGAACTCAGGTCTTTCTGAGCCCTAAACTACTGCTCTGTCAGATAGGGATTCATCTAGTGGAGATGGGAGAATGTTTTCAGGAAGAGGGCTTCATGCCTTCATATTGTACACAACCTGTTACCCTTCACATTTCTTGGAGCTGGGCATTCAGCCCTTGCTCCCAGACCTTCACTTAGCATCCACATTTTAACTCTGAGCCATCAGTCAAAATGCAGACCTATTTGGGATTGACACTGTGGTGATCATTAGGAACTCAGGGTGATGTGGTCCTGGCTGCAGGGCTGCTGGGTCACAACTCTGAGGGCATTAGGACAGTAAAGGAGAATAAGGCTGGCTGTCACCTGCTTGTTGGAGATGTTGTGGCCTTCACTTCTCCCATGGCCATTTTATCCTGAAGATGCTATCCTTAACCTTTCTTTCTTTCTATTTATTTATTTTCAAATGATTTATTCATTTATTTTTGGCGGCTGGCCAGTGTGGGGATCCAAACCCATGGCCCTGCTGTTACAAGGCTGTGCTCTAACCAACTGAGCTAACCGGCCGGCCCCCTATCCTTAACCTTTCTGACCTCTGTCACCAGCATATGCGCTCAGGTCGGTTGATTTTGCAGAATAGGTGGGTCCTACTGTGTCATCCACATGCTCTTGTTCAGCTCTGCAGTCCACATTTGTGAGGAGGCAGGGACATCCTCACTGAGGTCGTTGTGGGGTCAGGCTGATAGCCATGGTCTTTTTGGCCTCCCACACTAACTAATGAGATAAGCTTGCTACAGAAAGTTGAGGTCATCCCAAAAGACAACAAGGATAGCTTCTGGGTGGGTGGTGGGTGTGGCAGGAAGTGTCTAAGCTTACAAGAGATGGCTGTGCCTTGCCTGAGAAGATGTAGGAAGGCTTCCTGGAGAAGGTGGCTAATGATTGACCATCCCAGGATCTATCCTTGCAGGCACTGTCTCAGCCAGGCTAGTCACCACTTTTCCACATACACAGAAGTCAAAGTGGTGGACAGAAGTCTGTGGTCCTCCTGTGAAGACTAAAGCCATTGCATTTCCCTGTACTCTCATGGAGTTTAGAAAAATGGCTTGCCCATATCTGGGGCCACTGCCAGGCATGGATTCCTTGTGAGCCTTCTGGCTTCTAAGCCTCTCTTTACCTCCCAGGGAAGGTTGTGGCAGAATTCTTTAGGCTAGTAGTTTTCAAGCCTTTTTTTTTTTTTTTTTTGGGCGGCTGGGCAGTACTGGGATCCAAACCCATGACCTTGTTGTTACAAAGATGCATCTCTAACCAACTAAGCTAACTGCCAGCCAGAAGGACAGTTTCTAATGCAAGTACCACAATTCACAAGTGAGATATAAAGTTTATTAATATTTAGTCATCAGAATCATGACACTCACCTTTAGGAAGTAACAACTAGAGGAGATTCAAGGAGACATGCACAGACACACACGTTATCAGCACCACACTCTAACCAACTGAGCTAACCAGCCAACCCCCATGCCTTCTTTAAGCAGCAAAACTCATGTTTCTAATTGGAACTCGCCCTCTTGTGTCCTTAGCAATGGCCTCTTTGGCCGTTCCATTGAATAAGGTTTGAAAACCTCCCTGCTTTAAAGAAGGGAAAGGAGGTGACTGCCTCTCACGCTGTCCTCCCAACCTTTACCAGACAACCCGTGTATCCCATTAAAGCTCATGTTTCTAAGTTCTATAGTCTGTTCTGCCATGTTCCTCTGAAGAAAACAGACTCAAGGAGAGAGTTGTCATTCTCATGTCACATTTACAGATGAGTTGCCCTAGCTACAAAAGTCAATCTCTTGGAGACCTGTTAGAAAAAGTTCCAAAGGTCAGCTTTATGCTTCTGCTAACTACAGTAGTTCTTAAAGTGCTTGTTTGTGGACCAGATCACCCCCAAAATATGGGTACTTCAATTTTAGTATAGAAAAAAATGTTCTAGTAAGTTTAAGATTTTCACATAGGTTTGAACTTTAAAAGCACAGAAATGATTACTTAATTCAATTCAGTAACTTTTCATTGAGAATCCAGTGTGTGCTAGGCCTTTTTGTAGGCACTGGGCATACAGAGTTGAGTAAGTAGAGTCTGAGTTCTTGAGGAACACTAAACCTTCCTGCTTTTCTTTCCGGTAGTTCATCTGCAACTGGGAGCTCTGCAGTAGAAATTAAACAGTATAGTGAAAAGGAGGATGAATTCTGAGAGAGGGAAAATTAAAGAAAGCTTCATAGAACAGGTGCCATTAGAATTGAGCGCAGAAGAAGGTAGAGAATTTCCATGGAGATGGGGGGAGGGTTTAGGGAACCATGAAGGGCACTGAGTAGCTGGAGACACGAAATGGTAAGTGAGACTGGAGGAGCTTAATGGGAAGGCCCCGGATCATCCCAGGAGTGAGGATTCAACTGTGGGCATTGGTGACTATATGGGGGTCACTCACATTTATACTTTGGGAAGATCTCTCCAGCTGATTTTTGGAGGATAGCTAACAGAGGGAGGCCGAGCTAGAGGCAGGGACACTACTTTCTGTAAGAGTGGGTGAGACAGATGCGGGCCTGGACTGGGTGCCACGCTCCACAGCCCCTGTCCTCATCCTGGGC